GAAGTGATTCATATTTTTGAAGTCGCACTTGGTATAAAAGATCGAGAAAATCATATTTTCAAGGGTCACTACTTTCATTTTTTTCAAGGACACGAGTTCCGGTAAAATTTCATCTTATATACATCTACTAAAGAAAACTCGAATACCTTTGACGATCCAAGTTCAATTCGATCTCAAATCCTCGTGCAAGTTGCGAGTACATACGCCTAACCCTCGAGTGACAATTTGGGTAGCGTGTCCTTTGTATTTAGCTATTTTTCAATCACTTAAGACTTCATTTCTTTCCTCAACTCAGCCCAAATTCAACATATAAGCAAGCTTAACAAAATAGCTCTTCAACTAGGTTTAATATCATCCAAAGACAAGTCAATTCTAGCAATGAAACCATCAAGATCAAAGCTGGAAACCAGTTTTAAATAAGAAATTATAAATGATAGATTTGTCATCCTTTGGTGTTTTCATCATAACTGCAGTTAGGTATATCGGATCTAGGTAAATTTTATGGCGTTTCGAAGTTAAGACATAGACCTACATTTATTATGATGACCTCCAAAGCCAAATCATGCATTTTCATGGTCAAAAATTGAAATCTCAGAGAAAACAGAAAGCTGTCGGTTAAACACAACATTTGGGCAGTCAGGGGTATTTTAGTCATTTTACAAGCTATAGTTCTCCAATTGAGTTGCAATTTTTTGGGTAGAAAGCTAACTCAAATTCTTACAACTTTCATGTTTTGAATAAGAACTGATTTGGCCTTTACTATGGACGAATATGCAGTTCAAATTGATTCCAAAAACAGGGCAGAACCTATCAAATGCTGGAAATTCAACTTTTAACTCTAGAAAGCCACAATCAAGCCCATAATCACTACACAAGTTCCATTTCCTAGCTTAATAACACCATTTGATAGTTAAACAACATAATTATGGTTGGAAAATATAAAACCCTAGTTGAAATTTTCACTGCACAACCCAAAACTAGAAAATCATCCATCATATGCCAAGATTAAAAGCTTCTATAGCATATTTAGTAAGATTGAGAAAGAGAGAGGGAGTGGATCATCTTATACCTTCCAATACTTGTTTTTAAGTGAAGAACCAAGTTATTTCTTCCAAAACTTTCACCACACCACGTTTCCTAAGCACCAAAGTGAAGGTTTAATTGGTTTAGTTTTTTTGTTTCAACTCAAACAAGCAAGATCAAGGTGGAAATGGAAGGTTTCTCCTCTCTTGTTTTTCTCTCCAAGAATTTCGCCCAACATGAAGGAAAATGAAGAAAAATGAGCCAAAAGAAAAGATAAGAAGAAAGGAAAATGTCTTGGTCAAACTTCCATAGATTTCCAACACTTGTGACTTTAAGATCTTTTCTTTGTTTTTGTTTCTTTTCTTCCTTTTCTTTAGTCAATAATGGTGGCTGACTTAAGGGTTAATTTAGGGAGAATTAGGTGAAATAAAAACAAGGTAAGAAAGTAGTGGTCAAGTGGTATACTCAATCGGTAGCAAACGGTGCACGTCGGTTCAAGCCTATTTTCCTTAACTCTCTTATACTTGTATTTTAACTTATGATTCACTAATTGATTATTAGCACTTCTAATCACACACTTCCTCTTACTTAATACTCACTCTTATCCACCAAATTTAGTACACATATCTCACCAAATGATCACACAGCCAAAATGCACAAAAATCCTAATTTACGCTAACTATAAAAGTAAAGGTAAACTCTTGATTCTAGTATATATTACACCTATTGAGAGAGTAAAATTTGTAAAAAAATGAATTTATAAATTAACTTATTCAAAATAAGAGGGAATTATAAGGAAAATATAGGTGAATTTTCAAGTCGTCACACTTCTCATATTTCTTGGACCTCTCTCCCTGTGAGTTTAGTCCCACATCGAAGCTTAGCATGAGTGAGTAGCAAGATTTAAGGTCCTCAGGGCTTGCCTTCCAGTCAGCAATTGCCTGGATGGTAAGTCTTGTGGGTCCCCCCTTAGGTTGAGTGAGACTCTCTTTGGTGTGTGTTGAGCTATAGTTAGATTATCCCCCTGTATTGTTGTTTGTTGGAAAAAAAATAAAGTTTATCGATAAAAAAAAATTTTGACCAATATTTGCTACCTGTGTTCAACAAACAGCTATAAAGTCTTGTATAACTTGTAAAAACTCTTTTCTTATTTCTTCCTGTTGTAATCCAAAGAAATTTAGCCTTTGGGATTCAAGTTTAACATACATGTCTACTATATACTGCTGAAAGAGTCTACCAAAATGAAGTAAAAATGATTTTATCATCATCCCTTATCTGTCATTTATAAGCATAGTAGTCTCTAATAGAAACAAAATCTGGATCATTATCTATCCTCGTCATTGCTAATAAAAAAGTTATTCAAAGGATCAGCTAACTTTAGTATGCTAAATTGAACTACAAATGGATGTATAAGATTGGTTGAAGTTACCATCTTGTTCTATTGTACTGGTATTTCAGTAGTAGCAACAAGCATTGGGAAAATCAAATTTTCAGCTTTTTATTCTTATCTTTTTACCATTTTGTTCTATTTGTAGTAGTATTTAGCAGTAGCAACGAACATTGGAAAATCAAATTTTTAACTTTTTTATTCCTTGATACTATATGTTTGACTAATTTTCTAGGAGGCTCAGGCTGCGCTTTGCGCAGTCAAGGTACCTCTAGTTTTATTATACTTGAGGAAAATTGACAAAGTTCGAAGTTAGGAACCCACCAAATGAGCATGACAAGGTAATTTATCCTTCTATACTACTACTACACTGTTTAGACAACATCATAACTTCCAGACATCAGTTATTATGTGCACTTTCAAATAGATAGATTAAGTTGATAGGACTTCAGTTATTATGCGAACTTCCAAATAGATTACACCAATAGCAACATTTGCAGGTGTCTTCACAGGACGGCAATACTGTCACAACGATAATCTTCTTGTTCGAGAAATTTTTATTCAAATACCAATATTACGCTCAACTAGTCAATTCCATATATTCTCATCGATTTTGTTGGATTTATTGTCCACTAATTACTCTTTTTCTTCTCTCTCTAATTTAATTGACTATTTTACCTTCTTTTTCTCTCTGTTTAATTTATTTATCTATTATTTTCATAACTCACTAATTTGGTTTTGACTTTTTTACCATAATCTTTTCTTATATTATAATTCTTTTGCTTTAAAGAGCTCTTACTTTTTATTTTTAAAGTTGTATTTAAAATTTATTTTTGCAAATACAACGTGATTTAACTTAAACAATTAACAGTTTAAATGAAAATAATCCAAAAATTGTAGATACACTTTTCCTTCAATATTCATGCGTTGAACTTTTCCTTCAAACAATGTAGATTAAAATTACTTTAATCTAGATATTAGAAAATATGGACACGTGATGAAGTCAAAATTTATATAATAAGTAGAAAAGTGAAAAATATTGTAAAGTTTGTAAGGAAATCAACTGCACACAGGCACAATAAAACAAGTAAATTTCAAAAAAAAATAAAACATGTTGTATATACCATAGGATTGAGCTCCAATGACATCACAATAGTAATTATACAGCTTTTCGATGGTCTCTAATATAAAATATAAGAATTAAAAATACATAGTTATATAAGCTTGGAATTAAATATGGCCTAATGACCCCTTCTTCCCTTGTCCACTAAGCAACCGTTGCGCCATAAAGATTTGATGTTTAGCTAAAATTGATGACATTGTCTAAAAGTAGGTAAATAAAAAGCACCTATAACATGGAAGGGATAAAAGCAAATTGATTAAAATTTGCAGTGATGTACTGGTTGCCGAAAAAAAATCACTACATGTACTGGAGCAAAAGAAATTATCCCTAGAAAAAAAAAGGTTGCAACAATTACATCCTAATCCAACAAGTTCATCAGCAACCACAAGATCATCAAAAGATGAATGTACCAGTAAGACCTCATCAAAAAGTCCAATCCAAAAGCATAATGAACTTAACAAATCTAAACAATTTCCTAGATGTATGAAGCAATTTTGTCTATGAAGTTGATTCAGAATAATGAAAACAAACCAACTTAAAAAAAAAAAAGAAAACAAAAGCACTACAATAGTGCCATAATAAAATTACTCAAAAAATGAGAACTTGAATCTCACTATAATTGCAATAAAATTGTATCCAAAATTTATGATCACTCCAAAAACTGTGAGTAGAGATTATTTGATAAAAAAAAATAATGGAATAAAAGCAAAAAGAAAAGGGAAAAAAAGCGAGAAAAATTTATTGATAGTGATAGAGAAATAATAATAGCGAAGTGGAGAAGAATATTATCCAAAAGGAAAATTTAATCAAAATTTATGATCACTCCAAAAACTGTGAGTAGAGATTATTTGATAAAAAAAAATGGAATAAAAGCAAAAAGAAAAGGGAAAAAAAGTGAGAAAAATTTATTGATAGTGATAGAGAAATAGTAATACCGAAGTGGAGAAGAATATTATCCAAAAGGCATTGAACCACATACTGCAAAGATTTCAAGAAAATGAAAAATATTGTAAAATACGGAATTGGAAGGCGGGAATGGGAGGGGAAGTGTGGGAGAGCAAAATAAAGCTGTTGGTATGTTAATGTGAAAGATGAAGAAAAAGAACAATTAGTGGACAATAGATCCCAACAAAATCAATAAGAATATATGAGATTGACTAACTGAATATAACATTGGTATTTGGATAAAAATTGCTCAAACAAGAAGATTATCAATCTAACATATCGCCGGTTATGCTCACATGAAGACTTTAGTTATTATGTGAACTTCCAAATAGATGAAACCAGAAACCAGCAGCAACATTCGCAGTTGTCTTCACACGGATAACCAATTCGATCGGATAATTTACTTATGAGAGTTTTTTTGTTCTCGCCTATTTAGTAGCATGTTATTATAAACTTCAACTGCTTCTGCTTTTTTCTGCTCATTTCTGCAAGCGCACAAGCTTTCCCTTGGTAAGGCGAAAGTAATCGAAGAAAGCAACTATATATTATGATGCAACATAAGTTGAATTCCATGTATACAAAAAAATAATAAATCAAATGATGTAAAATAGATTTCAGCTTCACAATGTAACTGGTATAATCTGCCTAATTTAAATCTTAAGTTTTTGGATAACAACTGAGTTTGCCAGTCCAGCTTGTTCAATAGTCTGATCCAAAGCAGTCAACTATTTCGATGGAAACCCAACCGTTTGAAGTTGGTAAGCCCCGGATCCACTAGGCCTTGACGCTTCTATGAAGCCGCGGATATCTCTTATCATGTGGTGATAGTTAAAACATGATACCTTTCATGTCCCATCTGCCAACTTTAGCTGAATCGACATAGAAGGTAGTGTTTGATCAACTACTAGGCTTGTGGTTGGGGCTGGAGCAGTAATAAGCGAAGAGACAACAACAGTTGGCTCCATGGATGTGATATTGCTGCTGCTATCTAAGGTTCTTCCAACTCCCTGAAATGGGAGATGACCCCTGTCTGGTACCTGGAGAATTATTTCAGTTAAAAAGTATAAGAGGGAATCAAGGAAGAGGCAGTGAAAAATCAATGTGAAATTGTAGTAGCACAGGTTGAAGACCAACAATGGGAAGATGGAGGAGTAAGCACATATAGTGTAGTTTTCTTCCTTTCTTATGAGATTAACATGGATTGCAATGCCTTTATTTGCTGGCTGCAACTCCCTGGGGCACTCAGACCTCCCGATGCTCTGCATTGACATAAACAATTAATAACAAGAAGCAGTAGTCAAGACTAATATTGGCATAATTTGGTCCAGTTCCATGTCTGAGTTTTTATTACAAGATGCAATTAGACTCTGAACTCAACAGAATTGACAATCAAACTGTAGAGAAATGTTAAGAATACTGAACCTTTAGCATTTCGTACACCCAACGAAAATCATTGAGGACTAGTTAAATCAAGTGAATGGCACACCAAAGGGTCATATTGATAATATGTATATGATGGTGAAAATGACCAAGTTTTTGGAGAGGCTGAAAAAAAAAAGCCTACAAACTTCCTTTTTACTTCCAACAGTACCTCCAAAAAGGAAGCATTTGCTGGATCATCTAATCTCGGCAAGGGATCATCATCTATTGTGAAACCATTGCTTTAGAAGATGATATTGTGAGTAACAACTTCAGGCTGCTGAGAAGTAGAAGACAATGTCTCACCAGAAAGTAATCTTGCAGTTCCTGTAAAGCTTCTTGAACTTGAAGACGGCCGAAGGTGCTCAACAGCTCTATCAACAGCTTCGGCCTACCTTGCTTGATTGAATATTGCATCAATGTCATTTGCTTTGAATGGATCTTGAACAAGCATTCCACTATACACAGAAAGAATTAGTAAAATATAAAGTAAATAGTTCACTAAGGTTACATTAGCATATTCTATGGCTATTACGATCCAAGTCCTATGTAAATAAAAGGAGCTTTATCCATATCTAAGACAAGAAAATTATAAAGTATCACCATCAACATCAAAACTTCTATAAACTTGCAAAAGACCAGGTAAATAACCATTGTTTTGCACCGAAGAAACAAATAATCCATATATTCAATCACATCTTAATAACCTGCTTATGGTTTGTCAATTGGTTTCATCTTAGAAAAATCAATTTCTAATGGCTTAAGCCATTTTTAGTGTTTCCCACCCAACCACTTTTGGGAAAACAATCAAAACATATCAAATGAAAATTTCATATGTAAATATACCCTCTAATTGTGAATGCTTTCAAAGTGTATGCACGTCTATGGTTCTTAACTTCACATCACCTAAAGGTGCATAAGAGATGCTGCAAATACTTCCAAACAATTGCCACAAGAAACACACATTGTTTAGCAAAGCAGAACAAAAACAAAATTCTAATACTTGTTCCCACGATGTGGTGCTCTAGGGAGGCATCTTTATAATGCTAAGAAACAAAAGGTTTTAATTACTTGTAGCCAGGAGTAGCTTCAGATTGAGGTCATTGCCACAACTTATATTTCTGCCTTTTGCTCTGCATTCATGGAGAAAAAACAAGAAGTACAAAGATAACCCTTTTCAAAATATTCTTTCTAGTGTTTTCTTGGGGAACTCCAAATTTTATGTAGATACTCCATTATTAATGTTCACCACTTCTAACTAATTCTATGTTTTTTAAGAGAGAAGTGTTCTTCATGTAGAGCAATAACTATTGCAACCAAAAAATACAAAAATGTTTACCTTCTTATGCAAGATTGAGCTTTATCATACAAAAAAGAGCCCAATTATTCTTTCTTGCCAGAATTCACAAGATGCAAAGCATGCAACATCCTAATGCTCAGACTTCATTTCTTCCTTGTCTGGATGCTACAGCTTATCAATTGGCTGCTTAAATTTTGTTCCATTACTTAAATAACTTGTAAAGAAAGACTACCAAAATGCTCTTGCAATTGTTGCATTGTTGTTACTGTCTATTTTTTGTTTATGCATATTAAACTATAATTTACATGAATAAAATGTTGAAGTTGTCACCTATTAGAGTGTCTTCTTGGGTAGTTTCCCAAGCACCAAAAGCTATCTGTTTAGTCATCAATATATTTTTTTCCTTTTCCATTTTTTGGGTCAATATAGAGCTTACCAATCCTATATATTTTGGGATCTTCCAGTTTCTATACCCAACACTATCACCATTCTCCAGCAAATTACACATGTTCTAACTATCTTTCATTTTCTAGTTATTTACAAGACAATAGTTCCCTTTCCCCTTAAGAAAAAGCCTCTCCGCCCCACATTCCATCACTTTCTTCTCTCTCCTGTCAGTCACCAAATAGCAAAGACCAAAACATGGACAGGACATTGTATTTAATAGTGTAAATTGGGCCTTTAAGTACTAATACTTTAGTTTCAATCCTGAAGAGCCAAAAACCAGCATTCCGGACACAAAACAACACACCATTCAAATCTTATGATCTAATTCCAAAATCTAAAATGGACCAAGACAGGTTCCAGCTCATAGAAAAATGTTTGGAACCTACATTTTAGGTCTTCAACAAGATAGGACCGACCAAGCAATGAACTAGCAAAAATCAAAATATTGACATTACCACTCGGTAGAATAAATTGGCTTTTAAGTCTTAAAAGGGATACAATTACTTCAGTTTCAATTTTGAAGTGCCAAAGAGTCTAAAACAGCAATCAAGATGGAAACAAATCCATGATTTAGATCTTTTTATCCTTTTCTAAGATCTAAGGAGGCTATCACAGGTTCCCACTCATTGAAAAATGCTTTGGGACTTATGCTTTAGTTCTTCAACAAGATAGCACCACATGTCACTAGCGCACTCAGTCTCTACATATGCTTGTCAAAAAATGAATGTAAATGATTCAGACTAAATAATTTATAAATGACAAGGTGTAGCTTTAATCTTCCCACACATTCGTGACAATTGTGCATGCACTTTATCCAACAATTAGTGAAAGCCACTCCATACAACACAAATGTGTTTGGCAATACTGCAAAATCCTTCAACTTCAAATTGCATTTATATATGAATCACTTCCACTCGCCTCCCTATACATTCTTTCAACTAATTCTCTGGAAAAAAATAAGTCAGCTATAGAACAAGCGAAGAGGGGTTCCCACCATGCTAAAATTGCCACATCTACGGATGTGACTCTTTGACCCTCCCAAATGGCAACTGGTTAAGTTGAATAATGGTACTAAGTCAATGCTATCTGCTATTCCATTCAATCAAGAGACAATGTACTACTAGATTCCAAATTTTCCAATTATCTATAAATAACATCATTCAAAAAATTGCCAAGAGGAGTTGAAGCAATAATTGGCACAAAAAACAATAAGTTATATCCAAATAATCTCCTAAACAACAGACCAATAGCCAAGTTGCTTTACTTTTCGCTTTCTACCCATTCGTAAGATCTCAAATAGAAACCAAACAAACTTGGAAGCCAGATATTAAATAGTGCAAAAGATAAAGATTTTATAACTTAAGGAACAATCACAAAAGGTTTTCAATTAGCAAATGCCAATTGATAAACACAATTTTATATGCTCTGTAGTATGCTTGTAGGCGGAAACAATATTTAAAAACAATAATGAATCCATTAACTCGGGAAGCACAATATACCAAGCAAATTTGCGAAGTAATCTAAAATCACAAAAATTACAAAATACGAAAGGGGAAATCGAACGCAAAGTCAAAAAGCAAAAGCAGCAAAAAATTACCTTTTTTTCTCCACTGGTATAATACTCTTGATGCTCATCAGAGTCGTCATCAGACCCATCATCACGTCTCGGCTACCGATTGAGATCAACAAGCGTCCTAGTCTCACTTCTCCTCTCCGCCCACTAGCTCCGGTACCACCGATGGAGCTTTTCGAATTCGACGACTTTAGATTATACTGAGAATGGCAAGGAGGTAGAGGAGATAGTGATCGAGAGTGAGAAGGACTCGAAGACTGAGATTGAGACTGTGAAGGAGAGTAGGACTCAGACTGAGTTGGCGATCAAGGTTGCTGAGTATCATTCACGGCAGCAGTGGCGACTACGGTGGAGGGATTGGTGGCTTTGAGATCAAAATTGTGGGATTCTAAGTAAAATTGGGCTTCCGATTTAGAAGTGGCAGTGATTTCACAAAAAGTGCTAATTAGAGAGCTGTTGTTGAGTGTAGCTTCTTCTGCTTCGCCTTCCACTGGTGGTAATGACCGTTGATTTTCCATTATTCACTGGAGATTAAGAGATGGTTTCGGCGTCGAGGATCGGGAAAGCGGCGACCAAGATGGAAATTTTGAATTTAGGAATTTGTGTTAGATGAGTTATTTATTGGGAAAATGATCGGTTTCATACTTCACATTTTACAAAAATATTCTTTTCGTCTCTCACTTTTAAAACGAAGCAATTTCGTCCTTCACATTTAAAAACTGAAGTTCTTACATCCTTGAACCCAAATTTCAATCTAAATCAAACCACCAATTAACTTCATTACAAATTTTGGGGGTGTAATTGGTAGATTACTTGATTACCTCAACTTGATATTTATGTAAAATTTAATGAACCCAAAAATAAAAAATAAAAAAATTATAACATAAAAAAGAAAGATTAATCTTTCCTACATCATCATTATATACACTGATAGTTTTATGTACTGCCATATCATTTCAATTTAAATTTAAACACCAAAATTTATATTTATGATACACATCTAGATTCGCAAGCGGATATACTATCGGTGCATGAAAAGATTTACCCAAAAAAAAAACTCTACTATTCCAAGACAAAGAATGGCCTTTTATGTTATAATTTTTATTTTTTTGGTTTAATAAATGTCATGTGAATATGATGAAATTGACCGAGTGATCTATCAATTCTATTTCTGAAATTTATTATTGGGTTATTGAATGGTTTGATTCAGATTGAAAATTAGGTTAAGGGATGTAATAGTTTTAATTTTTAAATGCCAAGGATGAATTTGCTTCATTATAAAAGTGAGGGATGAAAAGAATATTTTCGCAAAATGTGAATGATGAAACAGGTCATTTTCCCTTATTTATTTTTCTTTATATATCGGGATCGACCATGTTTGACTAAAATTAGACTACATATCGACGACGTCGCTTACAGGATTTCTTTGTTTTTATGCAACATTTGTTTCGAAAGAATTGCAATTTTAGTCCCAAATATTTAGAACATGAGTGCTTCAAGTTCTTAAAATTCGAAAAAAAAAACAAATGTAGTCATAGAATATATTAAACGATCATATTATTTAAGACATTGGTATAATACATGGCAAATTTTCAGGAATTGTTGAGGCAAATATACATATGTTTCATAGTACATTTCTACATAAAATTTGCAGAAAACATTCTATAAAGTATTTATTAGGTACAAATATTAGAATAATTAGTAATATGTACGGTGATATGAGCATGTAGTCCTAAAATCATTGAAATATATATAAAAGTGCAATAATTTTGAAATAAAAGGGTACCATATGAAGCCTACATTCAAAAAATAAATGATTAATTGCGTTTGCACTGTAACTACTCCCAAATTGCAATTTGCATTCTTAACTTTCAAATTTACTACCTTAAACTATCGTAGTCCACTATAATTAACTAAATTTTAGAAAATTAAAGTAAATTTCATCCTGCTAGTGATTGGTAAAAATATCCTTTCAACTCCTATTGTTCTTTTCTCCTTAATATGTATTTTTTTTATCATGAAAGGGGCCAAAATAGTGCATTCTTCCTTCCCCTCCAAAACTCCATTAGATGCATTAAATTCTTGTCATTGTGAAATCCAATAACTTCTTGATCCAATTTTGTCCTTGTGAAATCCAAAGTAATTTCAGTTTTCTTATTTCAAATAATAGTTTATATGCATAAATTGGTTAGTTTTCTCTTAAAAATGTAATACATTACTCGGGAGAACAAAATGGTGACCAACTTAAAATACTCAGGCAATATGTTAAATATTTACAAATATAGTTTTATTATCAGTTGTTTATTTTGTTTAGTGGATTAATCTTTCATACACTGACAATGACAGTGTATATACTGTCAGCGTTGAATAAATAGCAACTATGCAAAATTTGAATTTGAAATTCAACTTTTACACACATGTCATTAATCCAACAATGATTGTGTATATACCACCACTATATATAAGATTTAATTACCAAATAATATTGCCATCAACACACAATTGTAAAGAAGCAAAGCATAATGAAAAGAGACCTCTGCATAGTCAAATATTAAGCTTGTTAATGTCTTTTATTGACCTATTTATCCAAGTTGTTTGAGCTACTTTATAAAGGGCCTCAATCATAATACCATGACGGACCGCAACATTGACATAAAGGACATTGTTTATCTATCCCAACCAATTCTTGCTATATACCTGCATTTACATATTATTTCCATATAGTTTGTTTTTCTCAAAAATATTGAAATCAAGGTTGTTCCCTATATTATCTTTGTATATTATCTTTGAAGAAAGGGAAAATGACCCTTTTCATCCATCACATTTCGTAAAAATATTTTTTTCGTCCCTCACTTTTAAAATAAAGCAAATTTGTCCCTGACATTTAAAAATTAAAGCTATTACATCCCTGAACCTAATTTTCAATCTAAATTAAACCATCCAATAACCCAGTAATAAATTTCGGAAATAGAATTGACAGATCATTCGGTCAACTTCATCATATTTACATGACATTTATTAAACCAAAAAAATAAAAATTATAATATAAAAGGCCATTCTTTGTCTTGGAATAATAGAGTTTTTTTTTTTTGGTAAATCTTTTCATGCACTATTAGTATATCCGCTTGCGAATCTAGATGTATATCATAAATATAAAATTTGATGTTTAAATTTAAATTAAAATGATATGACGGTACATAAAACCGTCAGTGTATACAATGATAATGTATGAAAAATTAATTTTTCTTTTTTATGTTATAATTTTTTATTTTTTATTTTTAGGTTCATTAAATTTCACATGAATATCAAGTTGAGTTAACCAAGTGATCTACCAATTACACCTCCAAAATTTGTAATCAGGTTGATTGGTGGTTTGAATCAGATTGAAATTTGGGTTTAGGGATGTAATAACTTTAGTTTTTAAATGTCAAGGACGAAATTGCTTCATTTTAAAAGTGAGGGACGAAAAGAATATTTTTGTAAAATGTGAAGGATGAAACCGATCATTTTTCCTTGAAGAAAAAATAGAAACTAATAATTATTATACTTTGATTATGCTAGATAACAAGAAAGTAGGTGAAAATAACAAAAGAAACTAACCAAAGTAGATAAATGGAAAAAGAACTAGAGTAATAGCAGTATATGTATTATGCAAATTATGGCTTTCTTGATTTTCACCTTTACCACAACATGAATGGATAGAGTCACAAGGTCGATAGCAAGAGCAACCACACATTTTCTTGTCAATTTTTGAATATTACCAAATATTTTACCACTAAGTTTTCATAGAGATTGAATGCCATTGCCATCTTGATCTTCAGTGTCACTTTTCCAGTGGTAACTCAGTGTCACTTCTATGTTTATGCTAAGTTTTCTGTTCATTTAATTTGTCATATACTGTTTAGTTAAGTTTCTTCTATATTCACGTGATAAATGGGATTGGTACTGAATTTGGCACTGGATAATAACACAGAGGATGGATAGTAAATCCCAACTGCATCTTATATAACAGTGTCCAGAATCTGAAGACAAATATTGTTGGTTGAGAGAATTGAATGCAGATACAACTAATGTAACAGATTTAATTAAAAATGTATTGAATGCTTCGTACGAACCGATTTAAGGGCTTTTGCAAGTTTAATTCAATTTTCGTGTAAGTGGGGTAGATTAAACTGATTTCTTTTTATTAGTACTTGCCTTGTTTCAAAACATTTTTTTTGGTCTTTGCTATCTTTTTTATTGTGAAAGCATTCATTAGCTAAGTTGATACTCTCATTGACTCTTGGTGAATTATGAGCCAATATTTCCAATGATTCAAAGAATTTTGTTTTAAAATAAGAATGAGAATCCAACTAGTTAATCATGTAACAAAATACATTAATCAATGGTTAATTTTATTGATTAAAAGGGTGCTCGCTACCAAAGTCAGGAGTTTGAATTCCATCTTTTGGATATGATTTGTTTGTATTCATTCACCCTTAATTTTCAATTGAGATAAAAAGGAAAAAGGCCTTAAGGGCCAACTTTTGTTTGGTTGAAGTTTGATACAGAAAAAGCTAACATGGGCCATGGGGTACTAGTGCCAGTCTAATTCTGGATTTAATCTCCATAGAAAGAATAAATGAGTGCTAGGACCAGTTGATTTAATTTGGTTTACATGCAACAGAAGAAATAAATGGACACTAAAACCCATTTAGTTTATCTTGATTTAGTTTCATTGAACGCATAAGTGGTGATTAGAGCCAATTAAGGCACGTAGGCCTCTAACTTAATCATAAGGAACCGTAATGCTTATAGGCTATTTCATGGATCGTTTAGGTTACAATCAACAGAAAACACTCTACTTTTGGTGCTCTAAGCATTCATCCACTGGATTAAATAATGAATATCCAATTGCAATAGCCCAACAACCACTTTGTATGTGCTTTATTGCTTTCAGCTTTTGACCTTTGATAATTTTCATATGACCCTTAACATTCAAGGATTGCTACACTAATTAGGGGAGGCTGCTTTGAGAACCATTTTAATTAGTCGAAGCCTGACTTTTGGATGCTATTGGGTGTTGATATTGTCAGAACAAACGGTAAGAACTAGAACAAATTTTACGTAGAAGTACACTCACTAGAGTCAAAATTGAATTCAGCTGACTACATTTGTGGCCCAAAACAAACATTTCAAAAAGGCATCGAACAATTGGGAAGATGTTACGAGTGATTAGGAAAAAAAAATGGCAAAAGTTGATCCTTACACATTTTAAGTAATTATTCCTAGTTCTTTCCATGATGATTGCCGAATTTACAACTGTAGATGCTTAAGGAAGGTACTGACTTGTTAACCAGGTTAGACATATTTTTTTTTTTGTAACGTCTAATATTAGATATTTTTTTCCTCCCTCCCCTCTCCATGTCTTTCCCATTCTCCAACTACTAGATTCAAGATTCGAACTTTGAAGTTAACAGTCTAGTAGATTGACTTTCGATTCTCTTTGACAATTCGAAAATCGACTTTTTGTGGATTTTGGCTTACCTTGGTGCATACTGCCACCAATTGCAAACCAGCCAATCTTGAGGTTCCAGAAACTTCTTAACCAAGCCTTT